TTTGAAATAATTTTAATGGTGATTAGAATAAATGATAGCTTAATATTTGAATCTATTAGACAATGATCAATCACTGATCAGTTAATTACTAATTATCAATCAATGAATAATCAATCAATAGTCAATAACAGATTCATGAGTGAGTTCATTGATTTTCAATTTACATATTATGTAACATTTATGTTATAATAATAAATAGATATATCTTTTCAAACATTTTTAGTTGAAAAGCTTTGCTACATAATTTTATATATGTTCTCTGCTTAGCACACTAGAATATACTAAGTTATTTATGTTTTTATTGTACAATATTAAGTTGCTTATAACTTGAAAAATAAATCTCACTCATATCATTTTATCTTTTTCGGTATCTACAATCTTTCAAAAATATATATATATAATATATACTCACATCTTTCATTCTATCAGTGATTCTCAATTTCTGAATAGCAATAATTTTTAAGGAATCATTTCTTTCATTCTTAAATGATTTTTAATATTTATTTTAATATAATTATATATTGCCAATTAAATATACATTGCCATATTCTTCAAACCTAGAAAAAAAAATGATTATGTTAATTTTTAATTTCTTCCTTTATATGAGAATTGTATTAATTGATTACAAAAAAAAAAAAAAATAAGTATGTAATAGAAGAAAAAAAAAATTTAATATATCCATTTATAATCATAATGTAATCAATAATCTAAAGACAAATAAATATAGAGATACTGATTTATAGAAGGAAAAGATTCGAAATTAATGGAGAATTATAAAATTTTGGTACATCGCGACTCTCTTTCCACAAATATTTGCATTGTATTTCCTTTTTAAAAATTTTGTTCTTTATATTATCATTCTAATCTGTGAAGAAATTTCCTATATATTCGATATAACGCGAAGAATAAACTCTCGAAACACGATTCAGCATGAATTTTTTAAACTTTAAATTCACCAAATTCCATATTCAATATGGAAATATTCATCGTACGATATACATTTTCAATTCTTCAATTTTATTTTACGCTCCAATTACGCAATCATTATTAATTCTAAAATTAAATTTTTTAATTTTCATCAATTTAAATATCTTTATTAAGAATTTTTGATTGTCATTCATTGTGACGAATATTAATTTTGTATTAAAAGAGCAAAGATTAAAAGATTAATTATTTCAAATTGTTTGATCTATACGACGAAACATGAATTCATGTTAATTGTTAAAAGTAAAATCTAAGAAAGAACGATGGAATTTGAACAGCTGAAAGATAAAAAAAAAAAAGAAAAAAAGAGGAGACAAATATTTGAACGATTTAAACAGAAGCCACGAGAAAAGATGGTATCAAATAAATTATGCGTCACAAGTTGGAAATAAGAAAGATGAGGGCATCAAATGCTCAAAGAGCATGTCTTTGGGAAACCGAGCAGACGAGGATCAGCCGTAAGCGTTTTTAAACGCCCGGCATTTTTCTTCTTTTCCAAGATCTTTTCCAAGATTTCTGCTTCGTGTCGCAGAAAAAGTGACGCTTTTATATGGTGAAGAAACACTTGAGCCTGAAAAATACATTCGTTTAGAGTATGCAACAGGTATATTTACTTTTATAAATATATATCTCTTTCAAATATTCTTAAAAATATAATTACAGATGATTAACTTAAGAATATGTCTATCAAAGTAATTTTGATAACAATTTTGGAATCAATATTGATTCCAAACATTGATAATTAAATTTATAATAAATTGATAAAATAAAAAAATAAATTAATTAAAGTTAATATTTTTCATGAAAAATTATATTCGGTAAAAAGTAAACAGAATTTTAATTTCTAAAAAATTTTTTTAAATTTGGAAATGTTAATCACTAATTGAAAATAGAATCTATAAAAATATAAAAGTTCATTAATGGTAACAGATCATATTCGACAATTTAACTTTATGCTAACAATTTTTACTTTATGCTTCGTTGCTTGAAATGATTTCAATTATAGTCTGTTTCTTTAGAATTGTGATTTTTTTTATAATTTTTTTTCGGATTTAATCATTTCGAATTGTATATTCATTTTCTTAAGAATATTTTTTCTAAGGAAATTAATTTTTGATTTATTCTGATTTTCAATAATTTTTTTTTTAATTATATATTTTTTTGAAAAAAAAATATTTTTAATGTATCAATAATTCGAAATAAAATTTCGAATATTTTTGTTATATAGTTTGGTATTAAATCGAACAAAAAATTGTTTTTCAACTTTCTCATATGTTTTTTGAATATTTAAATGTTCAATTAATTTTTAAACATTTTCTTAAATAAACACATTAATTAAAATAGTTGAATAATTTCTACTTTATTTTACGGTTTAAATCTGTCCGCTCCAGAAACGCTTGTTCAAGACATTAATTTCTTTTCAAGAGTTTAAGAAACGATTAGAAACACATCTACGAAGAAAATCTCAATGAAATTTCCAAGTATTTTACAAAGGAAGCAATCAAATTATTCTGAAACTTCCTTTCAATATTTTGCATTTGTCATAGTCTATAATTATCATCAAAAAGCAATCAGAAGTGAATTTCCTATCTGATGTATTTTATTAATAGAATTCAACTTTTCTTTCTTTACAAAAGATCGATCAATTCGATGTCTTGTGTTATAAATCATTCTTTATAATTTTAATCTTTTTTTCACATTACTTGATTAAATTGTCAATTTTTATTCTACATATAGAAGAAATGAATGAAAATAACCTGTTCGTCTATATGTATAGGTTAACTTTAGTGAAAGTTACATATTAGAGTTTTTCTTTTTCATGAAAATTGTTTAGAAGACGAATCAAATTTCTTGAATCATATTTTATTAAGCTTATTATAGTGCGTAAAGTATTTCAACTCTCTACTCATCAATTTTTAAAATTTTAAAATAGCTATTGGAAATGTGTCAATTTCTCATGGAACAATACTGTATTATATCGTATATGTTTCGGGCAGTGATCCAATATTTCCTTTAAAGAAAAAATCAATTAAATCCCTTTGATGTTTCTTGGTTACTCATATCTTATGTTTCCTCAAAAAGTTGTTATCGAGGTTATTAACTTTTTTTCGCAATCTTTAAAAGCTATTGCTTTAACAGTATTGGAAGATGTAAAATTTAGAGGTTAAGTTACTATTGAATTGGACATGATTTGAATATTAATTAAATTTGAATATAAGTTAAATTTGAATTTTTTCTTTTCGCGGACAAAATAAATTTTCTTGACAACTTTCTTTAAGTAAGTTATTCGATACAAATCATTCTTATTCAAGTTTCATTCGAAAATATTCTGTTTTTTAATAGTTAAAAATTATTTCAAATTGAAATCATTCTTTTACTTTAAAATTTAAAATCTCATCTAAAACCAATCTATATTTCAATTATTGCACCAATTTTTTATCGAAGTAATTTATTGAAAATCATCAAGAATTTCTATCGATACAATTCATCGTGTTTTATTTCTAAAAATCAAACTAATCAATTCCGTTTAATGTTTCATCGCAATTTATTTAACATCATGATGAACATATGATTTCATTTATCTATCTGAAAAATGATCGTCAATTTGTTTTTTAACTATAAAATTACTAGAAACTCATATAAATTTTAATTTATCATTGAAAATGTATTTAGTCTATGCTTAAAACTTGTTCATGCATTTCTTTTTCAAATTTATTATTTCGCATTTCCGAAACTTTCACTTGATGTATTGAGTATTCTCTTTAATCTCATTTATAGCGAGAATTTCACTTTTATAACGTATCTATTTTTTATAGAAATAAAGTATATTTGATAAAACATTCAATAATTATTCAACATTATTATTAGTATTAGTATTAAATTAATTAATTTTATTTCATTTAAAATATAAAATCATAATATAAAAATTATATTCGATCAATTAACAAATTTTATTGTTTCTTTTTTCTTAAAAGAAAGAAAACTAATTATTTTAATCAAAATTTCTGTTTATTATTATATAAATTTTATATATTTTATATTATATAAAATTTGACAATTTATATACTTTTCAATATTATAGAATTTTTTTCATAGAAAATTTTAAATCAAACTTTAAATAAATCATAAATTATTCTTAAATTATTTATTATGAGAAAATATTTTAAAATTCATATAGAATATATAATATAGAATATTAATAATTTGTAATCAGTTTTTATTATTTTTCCTTTTTTATTGAGATATAAAGTGTTGAACTTCTTGAAATGAAATGATTTTCAATTTGATTCAATTTAATTTTTAATGATGAATTTTTATTCTTAATAATATTTATTCTTAATAATAAATATATTCTTAATAATAAATATAAAAGTATTTTCTTAATTTTGCATTTTTAAATTCTCCATAAAAGCATGAAATCCATAGTTTTATTCAAAGATCATATTCAAAGATAATTCTTTTTTTTTTAAATTAATATTTTTAAACTTGTGTCATTTTCAAAGCAAAAGTATGATTTCTATTTTATATATTTCGTGAACCGTATGCATCGTGTTAAGTAATACCCTCATATTTTCTCACAAAAATCCACTATACGAAATTCTTGATACATACTATGTAATCTATACCTATGCACATATCTAATACAGTTGCAAAAATAAGATTAAATATTTGATATATTTTATGTAATTCTATCTATTACGCATATATTATATTTATAAATATAATTTAATAATAATCTGAAAATAAATAAAAATTTACGAGAAATTTTTTTAAAAAAGAAAAAATAAGAATATTGAGATTTTGAAGTTTCAAATTTTTACAAAGTTTCGGATTGAAGTTTCGCGAATTTAATAAGATTCCATTCCATTTTTACTCAAAATAAGAAAAAATATCATATAATGCATAATAAAAAATTATAAATAAATTACCAAGAAAATATATCAAAAACTACTATCAGATATTTTTATAATCGATTGTACATACTTCGCTTCGGTTTCTTCTACTCGAAAACTTTTGCGATTTCAGAATTTTTATCAAAGAGATGTTGATCTCGGAAAAGCTGCTTTTCCTGTATAGATAAAAATGATTGGAGGACGCTATTGGCAGAGGGCAACATTTCATATGAAAATCTCGTAGTGTGACGCATCGAAGCGATTTGTGGTATGAATAACCGGGCAACCGGTTCGTTCTAATAACCTACTCCCACGAGGGTCTGTGCACGCTGAAAAGCAAAGTCGAGTTTAGTCGTCGGCTGACCGAAGTCGGGCCTGTACCGTGGGGCCTGGTACGCCGATGCTAGTGCCGTCTACTGTCCTCGCAGAGAAAGCTGGGCCTTCGTTCCTTTCGCGCACACGGTACGTGAATTGAGCAGACTTTTGACCCTGAATACCGGTTCGGTGTCGGGTTCCGGTTGTGCTGGATGTAATTGTCGGAGGGTTTTGTGCGGGGAGAAAGGATAGTTGGAAATATCGTATATGATTAGAGAATGAAGTATGTTGGAAATTGTTTAAATGGTAGATTGAGATTGTATTTTGAGAATTGTTTAATTTTTTAGATATATCGTTTTTAAGAATTTTAATTGATTGATTAAAAAATTTGAAATTTTTTTGATTGAATTATTTTTAAAGGAGATTTGTATATATTTATTTATATTATTATATGAAAAATTTTGTTGACTTGAATGAAATATTATTGTAATAGTATTTTGAAATATATTATCAATCTTGATAATATTAAATGATAATATAAAATGAAATAAGTGTTTGATAATATAATGTTTGAATAGAATAGAATGTTAATAAAATAATAAATGAGTATATTTCAATGATATTATTCTAGTGAGGAAAAGCTAGTGAAGTGTCGAGAATTAATGAGATAGGCTATGGATATGTATTAGTAGCACAGTGTATGAATAAAGTGCATGAAAATGAGATATTAAGTGTTACATTGAATCTAATACATTGAATCTATATTGTTATATTGGAATAATTGTTATATTGAAACTGTTTGGGTAAGACTGAACCATATGGATCAATATTATATCTAAATTTTCCTTCAATAGTATAACAAATATGTTGTATAATAAATAATTGCTAATAAAATTTATGCAAGGCATAGAAAATATTATGAAAATTATATTAGAAAATTAACTTATAACTTATAGATTATTCAAGTCAATAATTGATTAATTTTTTAGTTCTTTCATTTCAATTTTAAACATTATGATATTTACTTGGATATTATATTTGATCGTAATGCTTTACTGATGATAATTCGAGCATTTGTTGATTTTAGATACAAAAGTAGGGCGTTTATTTTCTTTCCGCATGGATTATCAAATAAATCATTAAATACATAAACCAAATTATTAAGATAATTTATATTTTCGTAAAATTATATATATCATAAAATTATTTCATGAAATTATGCGAAAATGAATTATACATGTGAGATTATATTTCATGAAAAATATCTGTCTTTGTATAAAATCATTAAATAACCTGAAATCATAAATCTTAATAAATTTTGTACTTCTTTCTTTTCATTCTCACAACACGAAATACAATGGATAAAAATAAAGAAAAAAGAAAGGAAGCAATTTTAACTCTTGCCTTAGCTCGTTGTTGACCTATATACCAGTTAACGTATTACTCCAATCTTATTAAACATTATCACTATTGTAAACCTGAATCAAGATCGAATTGCTTTATCGATCTATTAGAACCATTTAATATTGTCGTTATTTATGAAAAACAAATTTTTTCTTCTTTCTAACAAATGTTGTTTCCATTGCATATTTTTTTTTTATAATAATAGATAATTAATAATATTATAAGCTCAATATTGTAGCTCATTCGAACTCTGAAGAAACAAAATTTCATATTCATCAATCTAATAAAACAATTATATGCAACAATTACATCTACTTTATTCGCGAAGTTAAATACTAATTATTTCCAATATAATAATAATTATAATATAATTGTTAGAATAATAAATCACTACCTATAACATAAAACTTCTATCAATTTGATCACTAAACATCATTAAATTCTTTAAATAATTATATCTAATTAAATTCAATATAATTATAATTATAATAGTATATCGAAAAACTGCTATTAATTATTAAATACTATCTCTTCATTCATTAACAAATTTATACTTGCCTTCCTCTTCTTTCAACTATATCCTCCAATTACCAGCAAATATCTTCCATATTCCATGGATTACAGTTTTTTAAAGCAGATTTCGCTTCGCTGGCGAGCGATATTCGACTTTTTTTTATTATTTTCCTTTTTTTAATTAATCCTGATACGAAATTCCGAATTTCCGACGGAGGTGGTTAGACCACCGAGCTGCTTTACATTATCGATCCTTATCCCTCCTCTCTCTCTCTCTCACCTCAGCTATATAGAGACTTTGGCTTACTTGTTTTCCTTGGAACCTAGTTTGAACTACTAAATTTCCATTTTCACTCGACACGAAGTGAATTTTCGTCGTGCGATTCCTTCGTTCGTTCGCAGGTCGCGTCCGTTCAACCTGGTTCCGTGGCCACGATTTCGAATTTTCTCGAAGCGAGAGGAGAGATATCGTAGTTGTTCGGAAGCTTTTCATTAGATTTAATGTATTCCAGATCCGCTTCCTCTGGAAGTGAGCCGACAGCTTTTTCCTTCGTGTCTATGAAGGCTGAGAATTCGTGCTCTCTCATCCGATGCGCTGGAGACCGGTTGCATCCTCTCTCTCTTTCTGAGAGGGTTACCTACTTTCCGTATATTTGACACGTTAATGAGACCGCCATTGTGTTTTTGAGTTGTCGAAATAGGGATGAAGTATTTTTTTCGAAAGAAAATTTGTAAATTATATATTTGTCGATCTATTTTTATCTTCTTAGATCCAATTTTTTTGAAACAATGATGCTTCAATCAAATTTGAATTTTTTTACAGCTTTTTTGAATAATAGTATTTTTATTGAATTTTAATTTTAATTTATTAATTGATCCAGTTAGTTATAGTTATAGTTATAGATATATAAGTTTTCTATTTGTAATTATTTTATCTATCTAATGAGAAAAAACTCAATTGCATTTAATTATATGTATTTAATTAACTAGATAAAATTAATCTTTTTTATTATCAAAAAAACTATTTTTCTGCATCATTTTTTCTTTAATAATATAATATTCGTGATTCTTTAGCGAATTAGTTTCAATCGTGATACAATATTTATGCACAATGTCCATATTATTTCTGATAACGCATTTATAATAATAGTTTTGTAGCAACCGGTTTGCCAATTTCTCCTTTGTGATTGTAACTATGGTGTTCTCTACTAAGTTGGAATGTCCTCGTCCAGATCAGTTTCAAAGCTTTGTTAAAATTACATTTTTATACAATTGTTGTCCTGTTCCCTAGTTCTTTATCTACGTTATCATTATAATATTACTTTGATGTATTGTTTTCTCGTTAATGAAACATATAACGAGAATATTATACAATATGGCCGAATGTAACAACTATACATGTAAATTGTAACAAGATGAGATATAGCTGAAAGTGAAATCATAGAATTATAATTGTTTATCTAATACTTTGACTGACTATGAAATGAAACGTTATTTGAATATTATTTTTAAAAGGATTGTTTTATAAAATGGAATTTCATTTGTTACTCGTGTTTAAATATCCGTGTTCCTTTTGAAGAAATGGCATTGAGAAAACCTGCGTTTTTACCTTTATTATTATGCATTTGGAATGAATAGCGAATGAAACTTGGTAGAATAAGATAAATTTTATTTGAATTTTAATTCCAGAATCCAATTATTTTTTTCTTTTTAATAGAATCTTATTTAAACCTTAATTTTTGATCCAATTTTTTGAATAATGAATAATAATGAATAATCGAGTTTTAATAATTAATAATTTTCAAATTTGAATACTCTCATAATTTTTTTTTGCAGCAAAATAAATGAAAACAATAACAGAAAAATAAAATAAGTTATTTTTTTTATTTTATTTTAAATTTAAGTAAATATATATAATTATATATATAAACTTATTAGGATAAATATTTAGTTTATTTCAAAATTAAAGTTTTATTTTACTTCTGATAATTATGCAAATTAAAGTTTTATAATTTGAATAAAAATTCATTCTATTATTATGTTTATTATCTTTTATTTATATTTATTATTTATTATTTAATTTGTTCTCTCTCTTTCTCTGTACATATTTTGTTTTACACTTTCATAAATATTTATTTACTTTTTATCTTCATAAATATTTCATATTCAGTAAATAATGAAATTACATTTCATTTGAATAATTTAAATAAGCAGCATAAAAAGACTTATATTAATAAAAATTTATGAATTTTTAATTATTAAAAATTTGTTTATAAGCATTATTAAAAAAAAGAAACAAAAATGTATACGTGTAAAATATCTGTATAATTTTTGGGATAGAAATTCGTAATGATTTTGGAATGTACTCGGCCATTGATCTTATCCAGGTTTCCTCATCCTTTTCACATGAATCTTATGTGTTGTTCGTTATAAAGCGAGATCAATCAATCTTTGGTTGCTTTCTAATTGATTGACTTTGACATAAACGATTTGTTACGAATTTTTGCATCGAAATCGGCACGTTCGTCTCCTATCTCCTATTTTAAAATGAGGTTTACGATTTTCACTTTAAACCCGTTTTGCCAAACTTTGACACGTTTTCATTATGTCAAAAGCAAATAACATCCTCAATTGATATTTCATTGTCAATCATTATTTTTTTTTAATTTTTCTATAAAGTTACAAAGTTATTAGATTATAAAATTATATAGATAGATTAAATTAAAAAACAGCACAATTTAAAGAAACTTTTTCTTATAAATTTTATTACAGTTATTATGCACATATTGAATGTGAATTTTTCGAATTAGATTTTTGAATGAAATTTCAATTATTTTTATTTTCAAAGTTAATTTGTTAAATTCGTAATTATTTCTTCTAATAAAAATTCAGGCCGTTGAAAAGTTTCTAATTACCTGCTGTATATGTGCGAATGCTCTTTAACTTTTTTTTCAATAGTACTTCCAAGTTTTTTTAAGACTTACTTATATGCATAAATGAAAAATTACTTTTTACTGCATCCACTTATAAATGTTAATTATGCAAGTTTTAAATTCTATGAGGTTTCCTCGTTTCTTTTTTCTTTGAAGTTAATAACTAATTAACCTGAAAAGAGATGATTTCTTAAACACTTGACAAAGATTTGCAATTTAAGTTATGACTTATTAAAAAAGGATTTGTCTTTTATCACAAGTTTCAAGTTCTCTTAAGTTTTGTAATAAATGATTAATGAATTTAAGCACATCTTGATTTTTTTTATATTTATATTGAATTAAATGGTTTCAAAACATGTTTAATTATGAAAAAATTTTTATATATATTCTATTTATATATATATATATATATATAAATGTAACATGTAAATTATGCAACATAATCAGAATATATATACAAAATTAATGTTAAAATATAATGAATAATTTTTTAACAATATTATTTAATTCTAATGATAATGATTAAAGCAAAAAATTTGATTAATTTAATGAAATTCTTGATTATATTATTATATATTATTATATATTATTATTAATTATATTAATATGTATATATATATATATATATACATAAAATATAATAATTTTATTCATTGAATTTTTAATAAAAGATTATAAATTTTATTTAATTAAATTGTATTTTTTAGATTTGCATTGATATAAATTTTATTGGAATCAAATTATTCGATTTTATTTATTTTTAATTTTTATATACGATGTGCATTTTATTGATTTTTTTCAATCTACATATGAATTGATCTAAAAAGAAAAATTCCTAATTTAATAAAAGTGATAAGTAATAATGAAATGATATTAAATTTCAGAAGCCAAATTTCATCATAGTAAATATGCGTCTCCAGATTCTTAGTTTGATATTTTTTGCAAGTGTAATACTCGTGAGGCAAATTTCAGCCCATGGAAGATTGATAGAACCACCATCAAGAGCTTCAATGTGGAGATATGGTTTCGATACTCCTCACGATTACAATGATCACGAATGCTATTGCGGAGGATTTACTAGGCAATGGCAACGAAATAAGGGAAAGTGTGGCATATGCGGCGATGCTTGGGATGCATCAACGGTAAGATATGAATTTTTTATAAAATTGCTTAGTTTATTGTGAATACACGATGATTGCATTAGTGGAAAAGAAGGAAAGGATATTTCTTTCTATTAAGATTTTATAATAAATTACATATTGCACAAATATTTTTTGTTGAATAATATTTAATTTTTCAAGAAATATTAGCACAATATCTATATTTGAATTCTATTTCATTATCATGTATAATTCAAACAGATAAAAATAAATAAAAATTATACGAACCAAATGCAACAAGATTTGTAGGTTAAACCAATAAATAATTTTAAAGTTTCATAAAAATTTGTATCTGTCAGTTATTTTCCTTTATAGATTCGTGAATACAAATTTTGAAATCATTGTATACTTTTATATAAAAACAAATTTCGATTAAACGTCTTATTTTTTAAATAGCAGTTATCATTTTGTCCATTTAATATTGAAATTTCCGAATTAGAATTCGTTTAACGGGATTCTTTCAGAAATTCTTAACTCGTACACAATCTTGGATGTAACTGTATTAAATTTAAAGCATTTCAAATATACTTATAAGGAATTATTGTGAGAAATTGAGAGAACAAATCATTCAATTAATAATAACTATAAAATGATGTTTAACGACGCGAGCGACGTTAGAAACTATTCGAAAAAATGGCTACTAAGAGATCGATCTGTTATAATCGATATTGCACGCCGTCTATCAATTTCATGTATCATTCAAACTTATTTGCCATATTAAATTTTGTTTCGATGTAGTAACGATAAAAAATGAAAGAAGATATGATTTATTAGAAGATAAGAATTTAAGTAATTTAAATTTTTCTTCTCTTTTTTTTTAAAATTGAAAGAATTTAGTTTTGAATTTTATTTTAGTTTAAATTATCCTTATATGTTTTATATAAATCCTGTTTTACGAACAGATAAAATTATATTTGAGCAAAATAAATTTATTTAATATTTTGTCGCAATATTTAATGATATCTATTTTTTATTTTGCTTAAACTTCATAATAAAGAATTTTAGCTAAATATATATGGGATAGGTTATATGTAGTCACGTAACTGGACATGCTTCTTTCTTTTACAAACAAAAAAAAAAAGAAGGCAGAGAGTGGCAGAAGAAAAGTTGAAAGGTTTAAAGAATTTTTCTGAGTGAGTTTTCTCTCTCTTTTTTTACAAATGTAATCGTGCATCATCAATCTCGTGATTATATATTAAACAAATTTTACACTATTAAACAAAAATATACATAAACACTATTTCAAATAATAAATAAAAAGATAAAAAAGAAAGGAAAATTAAATAAAAAGAAAAAACTACGTCAAACAAAATGCATTTCATTGTGAAGTTTGTGTAATTATCTCCTAGCAATGTTCTTGTAACACAGAATAAATTACTATTTGCAATTTTCCAGTCTGTTGAACGAACATAACCCTGCTACAACAATACTACGTATTTCAACACCTCTCTTAAAAATATATCTTGCAAAATACAGAATTTAAATCATCAAATAGAAGAATAAAAGAAAAAATAAGAAATAAGATTCGGTAAAAATTACCGAAGATGAATAGAAGATGAAATGTTTTCAAAGTATTTGTTTAATGCTATTTTAATTAATATTAAATATTCAATAGTTTGAATTGTTTTTGATAATTTATGAAATTATATCACAGTAAAATTTTTTAGATTTTATAAATGTAACTTTTTTATTTTGTATTCTACAATTCTTCGATTTTCAGTTAAAAAATTTGACAAATTTGACGATTAAACAATCGAAATATAAAAATCAAACTAAAGATTAAAAATTTCTTTTTCATAATATTATATTATAAGAAAATAAAAGAATTCAATATAAAATAAAACAATTATGTGGCACAGTTAAAATAAAAGATAATTCTATTTTTTTTCTTGATCCTTCGAAGCTCATTCGAATTTTCAACCAATTTATCATTCGATAAAAAGCTATTTCCCTTCGATTGTACCAATTAATTGTATCAATTTTCACGATTTACTTCTTCAATTTTCTATTTCTATTTAATTATTGAAACGAATTTTACGATCATTTTTCTAACAAATAAACAGATATCATAACTTTTCAAAGTTAGATTTGATAACGTGTTATGTGCACTATTTATATTTCACATATAAAATTTCTTCTGCGATTTATAATCTTCAATTTGAAATTCAAACTTCAAGATCTGAAAGTAAAGTAGGAAACTTCAATCTTCTTGTGAACTTTTATTCTATATAGAGAAATACTGTCCACGTTTTATTTATTCTATTGAAAGATTCTATAAATGTAATTAATTCTGTTTTCACATTAATTGTATGAAATAGAATGTAATTTTTACTTGAAGCTAAGAATAAAATTACATATTTTTTTATAATCTTACAATTAAATTAATTAGAAAAAATCCTCACAGGTGTTGAAATGCAATTTTTCAAAAGACATTAGATATCAAAGTATACCTTATGCTCTTATATCCTATTTATAAAACAATTTTGACATATTTTTAAATATTACATGTTCATATAAATTCTTATATCATTTATAAAATTCAAATAAATTACAAAATCTATGATTATTAAAATAATATGGAAATAAAAAAGAATTAACAGCAATTTAAATTCCAGAATATATACTGATCAAAAATTACAAGTATCAACTTCATTTAAAAAAAAAAAATTATACAAAAGTAAATACAAATTTCAATTTCATTTACAGCCTCGTCTGCACGAGACAGGTGGCAAATACGGAAATGGTGTGATAGTGAGAAAGTATCGAACAGGTTCGGTGATACCGGTCCGTGTGGAACTCACAGCGAATCACCACGGTTACTTCGAGTTCCGTACATGTGCGATGACCTACAAGGACAAGGAAGTCGACCAGAATTGCTTGGACCAACATCTACTTCAGTCGAAGAATGGATCGATCAGATATTATCCCGGCCCAGGAAACAAGATCTTCGAGGCTTTCTACAAATTGCCGGACGATCTGACTTGCGCCCAATGCGTTTTTCAATGGAGATACGTGGCTGGAAATAATTGGGGCGACTGTGGAAACGGAACAGGTATTATGAGCCGTTTTCATCGTTTTGCTTTCCCTCCCCTTTTCTCAGTGCTCTCTCTTTTCTCGGTGACATTGTGCACATGAAATTTGAGGATCGTTTTCTCATTCGAGGCAGATATCACTTTCCTCCGATTCTTTGGATAAAAAGAAGTTGGAGATTTTTCTCAATGGCGAATGAAAATTTCTGTTCCATTTAATTCCGAGACGAATGTTGGCCCGTATTTTGTTCCAACCGAATGGAGAGACACCATTTTGCAACAAAAGCAAAAATGGATTTTCACATCGTAGGCATCAAGGTGGTTGTTGTTGCGGAGATGTTGTTGAAGCTGGGTGCATAGAGATTGAATTTCAGGGATATTGGAAAAAGTTGATAGAATGAAGCGTTTGTTCGAAAGGGTGAAGTCGATTAAAGCCGCTGATTGCATCGGGGGTAAAGTACAGCGGTAATTCAGTTTGCTTCTCTCTTCGATTTTTGATATGGAATTTTTAGGTCGTTTTTTTTCTGATTAAATGTTTGGTTTTATGTTTCTTTTTTTAATAGTGAAGTGATTAGTACCTAAGATTTTGATTTTTTGATTTTTTTTTGAAGATGGATTTCAAAATTAATATTAAAATTTAAAATTAATTCTTACTAATTTTTAATGACTCTTTTTTGTAATTTCATTGCTTAATATCTTTTTCTTCATTTTATCAGAATTTTTAATTTCATTTGTATTTTTATTTTGTATGTTTCTTATCGATTTGTGTATGCATCGTCCAAAAATTTTATTACTGAAAAAAATAGTTGACATAAGAATTAATATAGATAAAATGAATTAAATTTTGTAGAAAAATAATTCTTATTACATAATTAAAATATTATTAGTATGCTTCAATGGAAGCATAAATGTAAAGTTTTTAATTTTTTATGTAATAAATATTACATAATTAATAGTGGCATTGAATAGTTGCTTCATATTCATTAGTATTCGATGAAGTTTATCCTTAAGCAATCTCTTTATTATTTTCAGATCTCATATACAAACATTTATTTCAAAATTATTCATCATAATACTTCTATTTTTACATGTTTTAAATATTATTTTACATGTACAGTGCTTCCAGTATAATTTATGAATTTTTTTTCTCGAAGTGCAATATAATGCAATATAAACTAAAAAAAAAAAAAAAAAATAACTGAAAAATTATTTTCATTTATTGATATATTTATAATATATTAATAAATAATTTTTAAAGATTAATATGTAAATCAATTACTACATATATATTATTATAAAATTATTATATAAAGTAAATTATAAAAAATGAGATTTATCAAATTCAGTTTGCAAAGAAATAAAAATAAAAAAAAAAGAAGGAAAAAATGCTTATAATTACAAATAAAATAATTTACCTTATTTTTAAAAATTAATCAATAAATTTCATAACACAAAATTATAAATTGTACTTCTTTAACAATATAGGAGCTGTAGGTTGCGGTCCTCAAGAAGAATTTCGTGCTTGCGCTGATATTACCATCGGGGATGACGTGGAACCCCTTTCACCTGCAGAGCCACCAATTCCGAAATCGGTTCCAGGAGAAAAATCGCCAACAGAGCCAACATTGGTGCCAGAACCGAGTGGATCATATTGGTTATTCAGTGTTATTATCGCTGGTACGTGCCTGTTGGTTGTACTGGCGGCTATGGCATTGCTTTATGCATATTACTATCACTCTGGCCGAGCCAAAAAATGGCTTATGGCGAGGAGATTGACACCTGAAAGTCCACCTGTCGCTCCACCGAGGCATAAAAAACACAACACGTCCAATGCACCATTGCAGCTATAGAAGGATATTTGTACTTGATAGTAAGGTGACCAAATATGCACAAAGAAAAGTAAAAAGAATTGTATAATTCTGTAATAATTTCTGTAAATGTTGCTTTGACATTATTTTACAATATCTTTTAACAATAATAGGTCATGTGTGTATATGTAATATATGTATACATAAAAAAAGAATTTTTTCTCATTAAGATAAGAGAAAAATGGTCACCCTGATTTATTTCTACTTGCAATGCAACTTCCTTTGTTCATTTTCTTTTTTATATGTATTCAGAATATTTTATATGTATTCAGAATATTGTATTATATTCAGAATATTTTTCTATCGTGCGTGTCTGTGCGAAAAAGTATACATATATCTTCGTGTCATTGTAATGTATGCGTGATGGGAAAATTGTTCTCGTTTTATAGTTAGAGTAACATCGCTCACCTTGCACACATTCATCTTGTATATATAAACTTTCTTACATTAAACATATTTATTTTCTAAGAATTTATGATTCTTAGTTTTATTCCCTTCATTTTTTTCTTTTCTTTTTAAATAAATTCTTAAATCTCTGAAAGAGATTTTGTTCATTATATAGTACTTTAAGAAATATCTAATTGAAAATTTTTCTCATATATACATATATTAAAGCACATTCGAAAAAAAACAAGGATTTAAGAAATTAGCGACGTTATAGTAAATTACTTTTTATTCAGTAACATATTTCTAAAATCTTGATTATTCATTTTTGGAGCAACACCATTTCCAGGCACATTTGCACTGCCATTAGTAGCAGCGGTTTTGACAGTACGAGGTACCATAGATAATAATGTTTTGGGCATACCAAATGTAGTTCTGCTTACTATAGAACCACCTAGAGATTTAACTAAGAGCGGTTCTTCAGTCGCTGGTACTTTCTTGCGTTCAGGTGGTTGGCTTATGGCTACACTAATTACTTTGTCGGCAATTTTCATTCCATCAGTAGCCAGAAGTGCCTTCGCGGCACTATTCTCGTCCTTAAATTCGATGTAAGCCAACCCTTTAGAATGACCATTACGGTAAGTAACTATGCGGACTTCCTTTAATGCTCCATGAACTTTGAAAATTTCTTCGAGCTCTTCTTTTGTTGTTGATACCGGAAGTCCTAGTCATTTCATAAAAATAAATATTTTTTCTTTTAATTTACGATTTTTAATTTAACTCTCAGTTGGTATAATAATAATATAATTGATATCCCAGAGTTATTTATAATCTATAGAAATATTGTACAAGTAATGGTAAGTATTTTTAATGTATTTACCATTATGGAATATATGTATACAAAGAAGGAGCGTGAACTTTTTTAATAAAAATTTTAATATTATTTTTAATTATAAATAAAATTATAAAACAAATAAAAAATAGAATATATCATATCATTCATTAATTATAAAAAATAATGTACAAATATAATTCTTGCATATAAATAAGAACGATAAAATATGAGAATGAATAAAAAAAAATAAACTACATTTTTATTAATAGATATCACTTTGGTTTGTAACAAAAAACTCTGATATGATTATAACAATAATATCAAAAAACTTCGTATAATTCTTTGAAACTTTCGATACAAGTGAAACAATAAATCTGTTGCAATGAATGTTGTTTGCAAACTGTTTTTTTACATTTCATACAGTATGTAGAATGTTTTCTGTCAAGCTTGCTAGGGCAATCTTTGCAGCGTCGTCTTTTTCGTCGAACAGCCTCTTCGTTTATCGGATTATCTGTAATTTTTATTAATTCTCTAATTTTTTAACGAATTTCTTGTGTTACACGATTATATTACAACAATTGTTTCACATATCATTCTTGATTATTATAATTTTCAATTTTTCTATAAAAAATTTTTTTTATTTTATATTTGTATCACATATAATTTCTAAAATTATTAATGATCATTCAGTTATGAAGTAAAAGTTTATTTTTAAAGAAATTCATGGAATTAATATATATATCCCCATTCTTTTTTTTCCTTTTCTTATTTCATTAAATCATAATATATTAAATAAGAATAAGAATTTGTTTAATGGCACAATAAGATGGAAATAAATGATGCTCGATAGTATTTGTAACTTAATAAAGAATGAGTATCTCCATTTTTTGATTTGAAGAAATTATTTAAATAAAGCAAATTAAAAAATGCTTTCATTTCTACTTCATGTGTGATCCATGAATTTTTAATAAATTTCTGTATTTAATATTCATTTATTCAATGATCTTAAAATTTTATCAATTACAAAAAATTACTCAATCTAGATAATATATCTCCACAATATTTCGATGCAAAGTTTTTAACTTGAAAGAAGTTTCTTGGATCATTTAAAATAATTATAGATATAAAAATATCTTATTTATATTTGAAATTTTTTCGTGTTCAAGTATTATTCAATTTTGTCTTAATAATATGATTAAAATATTCATTCTGTATTTCAACATCTGTTCTTTTTTATGTTTTATTCATTTTCCAATCAATTTCATTGATTGAAATATTTTAAATATCATTTACTTTTCAGAAAACAAATATAATTTGTTGTATCGAATATGATCCATTTGACTGAAATGTATAACTGGTTTAGAAAATATAATGAAATCATATAAGTATATATTAGTTTTGCAAAATATTACAATTTTCATATTGCTGATTTACGAGATTTTAAAGATAAATGGTTTTAATTAATATTTATTATTATTTGCAATAATTAAGATCCCTCTCTTTTAATTGATTATAATTACCCCAAATATTATAATATCCCATAAAAATAATTAATATTTGTAATTAATATTTCAACTTAAATATAATATTTGTATATAAAAGAATATAAAAAAATAAACGCGAATACATTATTTAGCAATTAAGAAATAAATGATTGAAATGTTGCGAATTTTTGTGAATTTTTTATGATTTAAGAATACCAACTGAGAGTTAAACATTAAATAATTACATACCTTTAACAAAAAGCTTGTTTTTTTCAAGAGAACAGCTATATTTAAATCCAGATCCTCGTGTTCTATTTGGGTCGCATTTTGAAACAAACATTGGCCGCCCTCTTATAGGAGTTCTATCCAACTGTAAAGCTTTATCAATTGCTTCCTATAAAAATATTTTCTTAATTACATTATTATTTATATAAATTAATCATAATTTCTAATTAAAAGAAAAAAAGTAATTCGTACTATGTTACTGAGTTGCACATAACAATATCCTTTACTACGTCCTTTATAATCTCGTATCATTTTAAACATTGTAATTGGTCCTGCTGATTGTAAAGCATTTCTAACTTCTTCTTCGCTTGCTGTGTAGTCTAAATTACTTATAAAAACTGTACTTTTATCATCCATTTCATGCATATTATCTATCTCCATTTGTTCATTTTCTGACATTTTGAAACCAGGCGGAGGCGCAGTTTTTAATTTTTGTTCTTCAGAATCAGTACTTTTTTCGAGATTTAAACGACTTTCTCTAATTTTTGGTTTTATTTGCATTTCAACTTTTGTAATTTTTGTTGGAGAAGATCCTAAATTTTTCCATTTACCGGTTTCGTCTTGTTTTCTTTTAAAAGTTTTTTTGTTTTGTAATGGTGATAGTTCATGATTGGACATTTGTTGCATTTTCTGTCTTTCTTCAGCAACTTTATCTAATTTTTCTTTTGTTCGTATTTCACATATTTCCATTTGTTCTAATGTTCCTTCATCTCGTTCAAAATCTATCCAAGAATTTGCTATGCTTTCTGGCCAATCTTTTACCATGGTCAAAGCTTTTTGGAATAATTTCCTCAAATGTTTTGTATCTCCATAACATCTAAACGAAAAAAAAAAAAGATCATTTAAAAAACATTATATTATAAATTATTATACTAAAAATAATATAGAAAATTACCTTTCTAATGAAATATATTCCAACCAATAAGATGCTGTTCCGGAATGTCCTTGTGACAAAATATCAGCCCATAATGACCTAGTTTTTTCCATGTTATTAGCATGTATAGCTTCAGTTCTTGCCCAATATTGTAATATAATACAATTAGGATCTCCTTCTAAGCCAAATGATTTTGCCAAATGTTCACAAGCTCTATTAAAAGTATTACGTAGTATTTCTAATTGTTTTCCTTCGTCTGTAGAATAGCGATCGATTTTTCGTCGTAAATATTCCAAATAAGTTATCCATAAATTTCGATAATCTTCCGCAGTAGAAAATCCAGCTGCTAAAGCATTTTCTAATAAAGTTTGAACTTCTAATACCGATTTGTTCCATTTTTCATATGATCTTATCCATTTTTGCCATATTTTTGCACACCAGGGAACATTTCTTAAAGCTCTTTGATATACTTGATCTAAAACTGATTCAATTTTAATATTTTCTTCTAAATACTTAAGGTAGTCAAGCCAAATTGACATTTCCAAACTAAGATCAGTGATTGCTCTTTCATACAAAACTGTAATTCTTCCAGGATCACCATTACGTTGTTCGTATGATAAATATATTTTGTATGAATCTAATAGTTCATTTTCTGTTTGTGCAGAAACAATTTTTTCTTCATAAGGTAAACGAAGATTAAGCTTTGAAAGAGCTCGATTATACCCTCCAATAATAATTTTATCATCAATAACAGCTTCTGTACCATCTCCATGACGCCAAGCTTCATATTCTTCATATGTTTTTTCCATATCTAAAAGAGGACAAGCTAATTGTCTTTTGAATAAGTTACCAATACGTTCTAATTGCTCTTTCCTTTCAGCTTGATTTGAAGGATCAATCTAAATATATGAAATCTTGATATAAGAAATCATTAATAACTTAAAATTATTTTATCTCTTCATTCTGTACTTACCAGAGCATATAATACAGCTTCAAACTCTCTAAATGCTTCCCATATTATTGCACCTTTAATAGTATGTAATCCAACATCTGTTAATGCTCTTTCAAAGAGATGTCTAACATTTTTTGCTGCATCTTTTTCAGTACCCATATTACCAATACTAAATTGTAAATATTCTAACCATACTTCTACAGCTACAACAATCAATTTAATACATAATATATTCATCAATCATTTATAAAATACAGATGATATTATTATACATATTATTATACATTAAAAGTAAAAAGCATACCAAGATAATCTTTTACAGCTCGCTCACATAATTTTACTACTTCAGCTTTCTGTTCTATGGTAGTTGCTAATTTAATTTCGTCACGCATCCAAGATAACCAGAGATCAGGGCTCAAGGGATACTTTGAACTCATATCTTCTCTGGCAGCGCGTAATCGTTCTAATTCACCCATTTTTTGTAATTTGTTAATAAGGGCTACATGACTCGCATAATCATATGGATTGTGAGCAAGAGAAGTTTCTAAAATTTTAACTTCTGCTTCGTCAGCATCTTCTTCATCATCATCATCATCATCATCATCATCATCATCATCATCATTATCTTTATCTTGTTCTTCATCAAACTCATCATCCTTAATTTCTTCAGTTTCATTTTTAATTATTTCTGATTCGATCTTTCTGTTCACCGAATTTTCATGCAAATTTTTATCGTTACTTTCATCGCTTCCTAATTCCATTTCTTCCATTTTATTTTATAATAAATTCTGCGTTAGGTTACAAATTTTAATATATTGTTATATATAATAATTATATATAATAATAGTATTTATAAAAATCAAGAAAATACAGTGCACTTAACAGTAGTAAACAGTTTTTACACGTTATAGGTTATATTTAAATGTTATTAGTGCATATTTTGCTAAAAATCTGACAGATGTCGTTACTACGCATGCGTATTAAAAATTATGTTTTAATTCAAATTAATCGTGCATACGTTAAAAACATAGTATTAAAATACAATAACAGATAAATAATAAAATTATTATTATATAAAATAATTTTTTTTCAATACTTTTAATTTATTTTTTATTAATTTATTATCAAGATTGAATTTATATGAAATTATCTATCTATTTCTTTAATTTTTAATTAGGCTATACACGAATGACTAATTGTAAGCAATTCGTTTACAATTATAGATCCAAACATAAATTTGTCATTGAAATATCGAAATCGTGTATTACTTTTTTCTTTTCAGTTATTTGAGTGGTTTTCATAAAAATTAAAATCTTATTAATGAATTTTTCATTAATCGTAACATATGACAATGTAATGTGAATATTCATATTTGAAGAATTTACAATATTATCTCAGGAACCGAGGAAAAGGGTCATAAGAAAGTTCGGAAAAAACGGAAGTTCATCAAATGTTCCAAGAATCGCTTGAATCATTGTAAACAGATACCATTGAAATATATTCATAAATATAATGCGAATCCATGGGTGAGTATATATATTCATATATTTGTATGAAAAATATTTTTTGCCGACGATATTTATTTTGCGTTTAATTCTGTAGATCCATCCATTAAAAAGTGTTCACTTCGCATGAAATAATTGCCTTTCATTTGAAACAAACGTTATTCAAATGTTTTTAAAAAAATTAGTGATAAATACGATAGAGTGAGTATCCTAGAATTATTTTTTTTTATTTTGAAAAATAGAAAATATTTGAATAGAAATAAAGAAAAATTATTATCCTTTTGATTATCTATTGAAAGAAAAATTTTAACCTTATTTGTGTTTATGTATGTATGTAAATGTGTTTTATTATATATATAAATATATATTTATAAATCAGGTATTATAAATTATGCAAAAATTTTCTTAATTTCAATGTTATTGTAATAAATGCTATTATTTCTTTATTATTTTGAGAGTTTGCTAAGTAAATTTTTCAATTATAATAAAATAATAAAATAAAATTATGTATAATACTTTTTAAAGAACTTAATAATTCATACTAAATAATTCTTTTTAAGAAATAACAAATGTCAATTATATACGAGTATTAAAACATTGCATTTTTTTCAGATAATGTAATGCAATTGTTGTTTTACCAGTGAATTAAATCTGACGTGCAAAGAATTTAAAAATAAATCGATTACAATATCATAAGAATCGCATGTTAAAATATTAGAAGGAAGTCTTACCTATTGATGTATACGTGTATGTATACGTGTTTCGAGTACAAAGAATTTTTGATATTTTTTATTCTTGATTTCATTGATTCAAATTTTATATATGAATGATATAATATAAACAATATTTTTTATAACACAAAAAAAGCATTACTTGCTGAAAATTAAAAAATTATTTAAATTATTAGAAAAGATCTCTAATCTAAATCTCTGATCTTGTATAAATTTAATATTTTAATAATTAAATTATTACTATTAATTTTCATTACCAAATTTCTTAAACTATTATTCAACAAATAATAATGATAATTGATGTAATAAGAATTCATATTTACAAAAAAGAAATATTTTTCTTAAATTTCAAAATTTATATCTCTTATATCTTATATCTCTTAATAAAAAAGTTATAATATTTTCTTTTATGTAATAATAAATTTATATTCATTTTAGTAATTTAACTTAGTATACTAATGAAAAGTGAAATTATACGAAAAGCACAGAAACATTGTTAATGTTTTCCTTATTTAACTTAGTGATCTAGTCTATAATTTTCATATAACCTAGGAATACCCGATGTATTTAGCAATAATAACAAAAGAAATTTTTATGATTTATTATACAATATAATGATTTTATTTATTTTTATATATTTCTTGTGAAATATAAATTGTTATAAATATTGTTATTCATATATAAGTTATGAACATAAGAGTTAAATTATAAACATAATTAGCAGAATTATTAATTATTAATATTTTTTATTAGCTAATATTAAATAAAGTAACTTAAGTAAAGAAATTTATAATTTAGTTTAGTTTAGTTTATTTTGTAAATTATATGATATGGAAAGAATTGTTTCAGTAATTTCCAGAGATAATTATATTGTACATAGTCAATAATATTAGATATTAACAATTAAAATTATATGTTAACTGTCATTTTTCCATAAATAATATATGTATAATCCTTTGTAATACTAAATAATGTTCTATTAAATATATTCATAAATTTTGGAGTAGTGATACATATTGTTGAAATACTACAATTTTTTTGTGCAATCATTAATTATGTGATATTGATATTTTCTTTCTAATGATAATTTTGTTTTTAGTACTATTTAATGTTAAAAATATTAATAATATAAGTCCATATTAAATTCTAAATTTGTATTTTGTTATTTGTAAATATTTAATTAAATTGTAAATTAATGCGCTAAAAAATTATAGTATAAATAATTATTGTATTTGAGATAGCTTAATTATATTTTACTAAAATAAAAGAATGCTTTTGAAAATTATTTTTTATTTTTTGTTTGTATTGACTCATACAAATATTAAAATTAAAAAGAATTGTAAAAGTTGCCAAAATATGATTGTAAATGATCAAGTTGCATTTTCCATTAAATAATATTTTAATAAATAATATTCTTTAAATAATAATATTTTTTAAAATATTTTTGTAAAATATAAATTCCTAAGGATAAAAACGAAAGACAGTATTTCGTTTATCAATTTTTTTCGATCGAGAGAAAAAAAAATATAGAGAAAAGAGAAAGAATATGTAGAATGCAATTTGGAAATGAAGAGTAAAGCAAATCTAGAATTTTCGAATGCAAATACAACATTCGGAAACCACTCATATATTTATGAAGAAACGAAAATACATTCAAGAGAAAACGAAAAAATTTTAACAAAAAAAACATCTACAATACTTTCAATTGCTAAATTGTAAAATTGTTAAAATTATTAAAAAAAAATCTAACTAGTTTAATAAGATATTATTAATAATTCTATTGTCAAGTTGAAAACAAATGAAATATGAAATATACAATAATGAAATGACGCAAAATACTAAGATTAATTGACGCAAGTTGATTCATCGTAATTGATATTGAATAATAAAATTATTTTTAATTGCTATATTTTTTTCATTCGATGTTTATAATGTTTATAATGTTATATGTTTATAAATAAATTGAAAACTAATAAGTTAAGTTAGTTTAGAGATGAGATCAAAAAATAATAATAAAAATTTATTTATCTCTAATTATAATTATAAGCACTTCCAAAAGAATATTTGAAAATCCAAGTTAAGCTAACTTAACTGTTGTTATTGTTATTGTGTAAACTAACCTAACTTTTAATTCTAAAAATATAATAAGATATAATATAACAATATTTATTATTTCTTCTTTTACTTTCTAATTTTTCTTCCAATATGAATTCTGATTAAAAGAAATTAAACAATAATCTGATCTAATCATTGAAAAAAATGGAAAAAAATAAAAGAATAGAATATAGAAATGAAGATGGAAGAAATAACGGGTGTTCTATTGTATTATTTATCTACCAAGGTTTTAATCTATTGAAAAAGTAAATAGAGACATCTATCTCCGTTACATTGCCATTTTCTCTATATCCGTCTTATTTTATCTAATGTAAATTTCAATTGTTCATAACTTGACAAATAAATAAATAATAAATTGACATTTTTGTACATTAACTTTTCTGTTTGTTTTCGCTTTAATCCTCTTAAGATGTTCCATTAACACTCTATATATATATATATATATATAATCTTATTCACTTAAAATCACATAAATTCATTTAGCTAATTGTTAACAACAATCACAAATGTATTCTTGATATAACTTCCATGACCGATCTGATTCATTCGATGCGATTGATCAAATTTGTGAGAAGTTCATATTGTTTCTTCCGCGCCGTGATTTTCTTTCAAGATTTCTTCGTACGAATGAAACGGTTAATCGCTGGGGATGCCCCACCACTTTTCAGAATCTATAAAAGAGACGATAAATTTTCTAGCTAAGACAGTAACAAAACGAACGTGACAAGTTGCATTAATATCTCTCTCTACTAGAAATTGAATATTGAATATTGTTGAATATTAGTTGATAATTTTGATACAAAATCATTTTTTATGATGAAAATGAATTTCGAATAATCGTTTAAGAGTAAAGTTTCTTTTGAAATATTGCAATATTGTGTTTGTGAAGATCTGAGGTATTTTCTTTTTTCTTCTTTTTAAGGATTTGAATATCTAGAGAAGATATTTTCTTTTTTCTTTTTTGATGAATTCTGTATAATTTGTGAAATTGAGAAAGATAATATTATGGATATAGGGTAATAGAATTTTATATAATAATATAGTGATTCATTTTATATATTAATATAGTGATTCATATTCAGAAGAATTTTTTTGATTTAATTTAATTTAATTTAATTTCTGAAAAATACTTTCAGTAATTCAAATATATTGAGTTAATATTTGATAGAATTTTCCTTTGCAATTCAAATTTATTGATAAGTGTTTTAAAGAACTTCTTTTGCAATTCAAATGATGAATCAAATTAATATCATTAAGTAATATTAATTCAAATATATTTTTACGAAATATGCATAAAGTTTAAAATAATTTTAATTATCACAAAGAAAAATATATATGTATTAATTTTTCTTTTAATGCGATAACAGTATATAAATAGTATCGCTTGTTAGGAAAATATATATTAGGAAAATATATATATTTATTGTAAGATTCTCATCACTTAAAATAAATCCGGAATCACAGAAATTAATTTCCTTATTTTTTCGAATTTTGTATTTCATAAATTGGATTTTAAGGATTTATTTCTTTCCTGAAACAAAACAATGAAGATCTGAAGGGACTATGTACTGAAAGGCATTTGGAATTATCTATTGATGTATATTCTATACTTTCGTATAAGTATTAGTGCGACCAGTCCCTTTGCATGACAAATAGTCTAATCTTTTGTCACCATTTCTAATATACTTTTAACGATTTATTTTTAATTCTAACACAAATATATTTTCTTCATCGATTTCTATTTCCTTAATCTTGATTCTCAATCTAACTTTTTTAATCAAAAATTAAAATATCTGATTTTTCTCTCTAAATCATGAATGAGCAGTTTAATTCTAACAATTGACGAAGAAATAAATTTAAGTACTAATTTCCAAACGATAATTAATCAATCAACAATTGTTATCAAATGAATAAAATTTAATTGATAAATTTTCAAATTTTAAAAGAAATATTAAATTTTAAATAATAATATATTAAAATTATAGTAATAAATATTATAGTATATCATCAAGAGTTTCAGGATGGTGAGTGTAATTGTCAAGGTTGCACTATTGCTGCATATTCTTCAATTGATCGCAGAAGCAGCTGACCAGTCGCCGTGTCCTAAGTACTTCCGGTATATTTCGGATTCTATCAGAGATGAAATCATTGGTTTTGTTGAGATACGATCGCCACCGAAAGGAATTCCTTTGACACTTACTGTCAAATTGAGCATTGCTGTTGCATTGCCATCGGTAAATATTTAACAATAAACATTGATCATAAGTTCATATATTTCTTGATAACAAGAATTTAAACTTGGAAAAATATTGATCTAAGGCATCCTTATAAGAGTTAAAGTTACAGTACTAATGCAATATGATCTGTGTTTTAGAAATATGTTGGTAAATTAGAATTGGCACAGCCAAAGGAGCAATCGATTAAAGAAGTTATGCAGGGCAGGCCTTTATATTATAAAATCCATTTTCCACTTCCTTGGCCTATACCCATTTTAAATGGTTTATGGTTTAACAACGAACATATTTGTTCAGGTCCACGCGGTATGTAAAAAATTTCAATAGATTTTTTTAAAGAAATGTATAATTATTAATGTAAACTTTTAAAAAAATCCAATTTTTGCATAACGATAAATATAAAGGAAATTTTTTATAAGTTTTAAATCATTTGATTATGTTATAAAATTTTAAAAGAAAAGTTTACAATCTTATAATTTAATTTTATTAATATTTGTATGATTAATTATTGTGCAAAAATTCCCTAAAAAAATAAATAATTTAATAATAATTTTTATAAAAATTTATAACAATTTTGTATGATATAATTTGTATTAACATTTAATTATTTATTCCAGCAAGCGGACCAATAGTCACGTCCATTGTCTTAAATCACACGCTATACCCACCTTCTTTAGAGCTCAATTTCGATTCAAATATTCCCATTAATTTTCCTCAGCCCTTGCCAAACTTTCCATCCATTCAAAATAAACCATCGATGGTATATCAGCCAACCGTCACTCCACAACCATCACCTGTGCCAATTATCAACAACCAAAATAACGTGGAGTGTGGTAGAAGCAGCAATAACAAGTTCAATCTTCTAGTGGCTGGAGGAATGAATGCATCTCCGGGTCAGTGGCCCTGGCTGGTTGCAATTTTTGTCGTCAAAAAGAATTTCGAGTTCCAATGCGCGGGAACATTGGTCACTAATAAGCACATTATTACAGGTATGTGAATTTTTATGCGAATGAAATGCTTAAAGAAATGTTTTTTTTTTTTAAATACTTACAATTGAAATTAAAATTCAAGAAATATTAAATATTAGCTAAGCTCTTAAAAATTGAGATATCTATAAAATAGAAAGAGAATAAAAAAAAAAAAAAAATAGAAAGTCAAAAATATCATTTTTTTTATGATATATCCTAATAATCACTTTTGAAAGAAATTGTTACGTATCAAAAGATTAATTTTTCTAATAAGTACCATTTAATAGTCCATTTAATAGTCCAAAAGTTACAATGTTACAATTTTCAATACATTTTTTGGTAATTATTTTTTTTTTATTTCAGCTGCACATTGTTTGCTAATAGACAGTATTAATTTACCTCCCAATACATTGATAGTATCCTTGGGACGCTATCACCTTCGAGAATGGTTTGAAAAGGGTTCTGTAAATCGAGAAATAGCAGCATACCAGCTCCATCCTAATTATGACAAAAAGGGCAATGCTGATGCGGATTTGGCAGTATTGAATCTGAGAGAGAAAGTGGAATATAATGATGTAATCAGACCAATCTGTCTTTGGACAGGACCTGCGCTTCTTGCCAGTGTTGTAGGAAAATCTGGATACGTGGTCGGATGGGGACGTGATGAACATGGGAACCGCCATCTCCAAGAGCCTCGACAGATCAAAGCTCCCATTGTACGTCAGGTATGATTATCTTTTTCTTTAAAGATTAAACTTATTTGATAAATCATTATACTATTATATAAATCTTTATATGAATATTTATATAATAGTAAAGATCATAATTGTTCATACCTGAGAATAATATATAAGTCAACAAAATCTGATTAATTATCTGAATACTTTCATTCATTTCAAATATTTTTAAACATTTCAAACTTCATTTTCATTTATCAACTTCCATACAGATTTGACAAATTTAAAATATTATAACTTTCTATTTTTTTCAATAATTTTCTTGACAATGACAATGACATTTGTCTAGAATTTCAACTGAGAGGTGAATAACTGTTAATAAATTACAGGAGGATTGTCACTGGAGCAACTCAGATTTCGTCTTGTTCACTTCGAACCGGACGTTTTGTGCAGGTTTAAGAAATGGAAGTGGTCCTTGCAACGGTGATAGCGGAAGCGGTTTTGTGATGTACGATGCTAAAACGGATCGTTACTATTTGCGAGGAATCGTTTCGAGATCCTTGCTGAATAGAACCACTATGTCTTGTGATTTAAACCAGTATATAGTTTACGTGGACGTTGCACAACATTTGGAATGGATACGAAATATGATCTCCTTGTAGAATAATTTTTTATAATCTGTAACTGTAAATATGTTAGTCGATTAATTTTTGTATATAAGTTATTATTTTATAATTTAAATAATTTGCTTATAATCTATAGAATAATACCAAATAACGAGTCGATTGATGATAATTTAATCTTTCGTGACTATAAAACGTAAAGTTTAAAAGCAGTATATGCAATATTTTTGGACTGTTTATATTATTTTGGACTGTGCTTTTTATATAAATATTTATGACATCAATAAAAATACGATTTATCTGTAAAAATAGATAATATATTATAATTTAATTTTTTTTATACTTAATAGTATATAATATTTATTATTATTGATGTAGTTTTGATCTTACATTTTAATATTTGCATATGTCATTGTCATTTTCTTTTCACAAAACATATCCTTTCTTCTTTCTTTTTATAATTATAGTTTTATATATTATTGTACATATTCTTATAAATTCGTAGATTGTAATTGTAAGCCACTTATTCTACAATCAAACTTAAATTATCCATTATAATAAATGTTTATAACAAAGTTTCTTACAATTTATTGTACAATAAAATAACTATGTCAAATATAAATAAATTATATAATTAAATGCACAAAAATTCTTTCTAAACAATCTTAATAAAACTGAGAAAAAACATAACGCGATTAGTAACAAAATTAGAACACAATAATACATATTTCTATTTATTTTCAATCGTACACTCTTACACATAACTCATTTCTTATGTATAAAGATAGTGATAAGCGAAACATATAGAATAGAAGAAAATAAGTGTACAACGATACAAATTAGAATGATATGTGTATATTATATATGCGACAAAAAGATGGAAAGCATATGCGCATAAAGAGAGATAAAGACTATCGTGGAAAAAATAACTACAAAATGCTAATTAAAATAATACTTCTTAACTATAAATGAACAATATACTTTTACGTTAAAAAACAAGTCTATCAAATGATCTATATTGAAATGCTATATAAAATATACTATTTATAGAAACGAAGCATGAAAGGAGAGGTTTTGGAATGTTTTCAGTGAAAATAGTTCCTCCTGTATGATAAAATTATGTTCTTTATTGTCCCATTGAAGAAGGTAAGCAAAAATTTTCATCTCCAAAATAGCTCACTAAGAATTTAGTAAGCTCTCATCAGGAATTTATAATACAGCACATTGAAAACAGTGCTATATTTAGATTTGTTCAGTTTGGAAGTATTGTCGTGCAACTGCTCCTAACACGATTTCTGCACTGAACACACCTACAATTATTCAAGAAAAAAAAATAAAAAAATAAAAAAACATAAACAAACAGGAATACGAAATTTGTTCACGTTTCCCTAATACATTTTTATACATTTTCTTTAATATTATTCTAAAAAATTAGGAAAAATAAATTGTGAAAAATCACTTACTTATATTTGCACGTAAAACATCGGTAAGAAGATGAAGATCGTTTTCATGAGTGACGATGATATAAGTTAATTTATTACTATTCATTTCTTGGATCTGTACCAAAGATCTTCGTGCTTTTTCCATCGTTCCACCCGCACTTTCAATTATTTCTGCGATAGCCGACGGAGATGGTATTACACTTGGTGTAACATAAAATATTTTACCCTATTCGACAAAGAAAATTATTAAAATATAAAAATTAATATTATTAATATTGTTCATCATGAATTTTTAATTTTTGCAAAATACTGACTTAATATTACCTTAAGTACTGTTCCCCTGTTAGGGCTTGCTAGAGCTTTTTCAATATTACAATTAAAATTTTTTTCAAATTCTGAATCCCCAAGAATATATCCATTTTCATCTAAAAATGTATTCCTCGCAGAACAATCGAGTAACCACTGTAACGTGACAATATATTTACAACGTGATAAGCAACATAACAATTTTACAGTTCTTATTGGTGCTGACATCACAAGATGAGTCGCATCTCGCCAACTAGCTGCCAACGCACCACCTAATTCTCGAATTCTCTGTTAAATGAATATCAACAATATTATATATATTAATAAAATATTTGCGAATTATATAACATTAAATGCTTTTATATATTACCTTTGCATGTTTCCTAGGATTTATACCAGAGAATAATATTCTCGGTTGTTTATCCGGAGGTGGAGGATCGGGATTACTAACAACTATTGGTTCATCCAAGCCCAACAAATGTGGGTCTTTATTCAATAATGGACCATCTAATCGCGGCTTCTTATATTTTCTTATCGAATTTGGACCCTGACCAACCTGTTTTACTTTATCATACGATTCCTGAGTAATGTTTATTGGCATCTTCCATGCAGCTGAAAGAAATGCTATTTTAACGCTATCCAAAATATTAAATTTAAAGAAACTGATGGAATAAATATGTTATGATTTTTTTGTTGGAAAAAAATATAATTAATCAAATTCACGATACCCATTAAATGAGGCACTAGCGAATAATCCAATCTAAAAGGATTGCTCAAGCTGTATTGTTGATATTTCGGATTTTCAGTTTGATGAAGTGCGTTCATTTGGCCACATAATAAATCTGTCAACCATTGAGCATTCACTACTCCAGTTTGCCATTCTCGAGCTTTCTTATATTTTTGACCGTCAGGTCTGAAATGTTTTTTTTTTTAAAACATTAAAAATTATTGATAGCGATTAATTGATCATTATGCATATTACAAAACAAAGTTTATTTATTTTACTTTTTTTTATTTTTAGAGAACAAAAGTAAAATTCAATATATATATATATATATATATATATATATATAAAACATATATAAAAAAATTTATAATATACATATATTTACTTATTATATATATATTATATATATTATTTATATATATTAACTTATTTAACGTTGTTTCCAGATAGATATTTTAAAATATTAATTGAATAGATATATAAATGTTATTAATCGTTGCATCACATAAAAATATTATAGATTATAAATAATAAATGAAAAAGTAAAATCTATCTCTCCAATGAATATATTTTTTATAAATTTTTTTGCAATCTATATTATATATTTTGAAGAAACAAAATATATATAAAACAAATATGATTTAAGCAAAATCCTATTATTCTTATCTGTTAAATTCATATTTTATCTACAAATATTTTAAGATACTAATTAATAATATAGAGTTAAAATTTAAAAATTGAGATCAATTAATTTATACCTTCTGCAAACGAGGAGAGTATTATGCCTGGTAAAATAATTGGTAACTTTAGCTCCCAATGCTTCTAGCATATACTTCACTTTCGCGCGCTCCTCTCCTTCAAATCCAGACAATGATACAATTTGTTTGGCGCATGGAAGTTCTGTCAAGCTGAATGGCGTTGGAAAATGCAACGCGTGCCAAGGCGGTAGTACCTGTTGTTTAGTGACAACATCCGATAGCCAATGGGCACTGACACAACGTTTCCCTTCGCGTAGCGCTTGCACCACTGTTGGATGTTTTTGGGTGATTGCAAGTACGTGCGTGGCTCGAGTGCAATATTGTGGTTCTACCTCTCCTCCGTGTCTCTCGATCACTTGTTTCCAAACAGAAACATCGTTTGGACGTTGGACGTCATATTCGACGATAACAAAGATACAACCTAGCAAAAATAGATCTGGTGGCACTGGAAACAAATAGCAATTGATTATTTTCAAAAGAAAGAGAAAGATGAAGAGAGATTGTTTATTTATTATATCCTTCTATTTTTGGCTTTGTTTCATTGCCATTGTAAATGGATGTAATGAATGAATGAAATGAATGAAAGAAAAATACATATATTTACGCTTGAAAGATTTTCAATATATGAGACTTTAAATTACTTGGTTGTATAAGAAAATAGATTAAATATTTATTAGATATTTATATATAGAATTTGGAATACTAGATATATTAAATAATTATATTGCAAATTAAAATTTATTCAAAAATTCCTTCCAAGCAGAAATATAAATCATATAATAATGAATCATACAGTCTTAATCGAGATTTTTTTTTTGAAAAATTGAAAGACCATACGTTTCAGATTTGGATTGTGACCATAGAACTGAGCTTTCGCTTGAGGCATCACCGGAGCGTATTGCATCTTTATCGGTGCGCCGGGCGGCGCTCCATTTGTGATGTTCCCAACGGTTCTCCGCTGGTATGCCGCTAGGAGTTGTGGATCCTGAGACGGCGGTGGCGGTGGTCTGTGTTGAGCGGTCATTAATCTGAGTTGACCAGCTGCACTACCTTCAGCAGCACTACCTTGCAATCTGTTCGTCAACATGTTCGCCAGGGCAGTTTTCGTTTTTGCATTAACGACCAATTGTTGATCCGGTGGTATTTGAGCGTTATTCGATAACGAAGTCAAAGAAGGCTCTTGTTGTGCACCTTGTTGTTGTTGTTGTTGTTGTTGCTGCTGCTGTTGTAGATGCTGCAGTTGTTGCAGCCTTGCCATTTGTTGCTGCTTTTGCATGTGTAATTGTGCTATATGTTGAGGTGTCAAAGGTTGACCTTGCTGAAAGGTTTGACCAGGTTGACCAGCTTGTGGACCTTGTACATTTTGACCGGCTTGCACGATCACTTGATTAGAAGAATTAATCGGCGTTAAAGCAGGTGGTTGAACTCCTGAATGAACTGGTTTTTGACCAGGAGTTTGAGCAATTTGAGGTCCTATCATTTGAGGACGCGGTTGCTGAATCCATTGCAAACCACCAGGTTGAACTGGCTTTCCTGGACTTCTTATGACGGCGATGTGCGCACCTTGTTGAGCTTGACGATTTTGCATTTGCCTCTGTAATAGTAAATTTCTTTGTTTCTGGATTTTTTGAATAAATTGAGCTCTTTGTTGTGGATCCATTTGTTGTAACTGTTGATGAGTTTGAGCATCCAATTGAATTAATTGTCTTGGTGGTTGTGGTGGTTGTTGAGCCCATTGCCCACTTGGTCTTTGTGGGCCAATTTGTTGTTGCTGTTGCCTTTGCAGTTGTAAGTGATATTGTTGCTGTTGCCATTGAGAATCTCTTTGAACAATAAAGCCTTGTTGATTAGGACCCATTAATTGTTGATTTTGAGGTTGTTGCTGTAATTGACCATCCCTTATAACAAATTGTTGTGAACCTTGAGGTGCAGATTGTTGTAATTGTTGAGAAATTTGTTGAATTTTTTGTTGTTGTTGTTGTTGTTGCAAAAGTATAAGTTGTCGTTGTTCAGATGTAAGTTGTTGTGGCGGAGTTTGTTGTTGATTTAACTGATGCTGTGGTGTTCCAATTTGTTGTTGTTGAGTAGAAATTTGTTGCTGTTGTTGCTGCAAAACTATTTGTTGTTGTTGTTGAGGTGTCAATTGTACTTGTTGCTGTTGGACTAATTGTTGTTGAGAAGTAATTTGTTGTTGCTGTGATAAATGTTGTTGTTGATTCATTTGTTGTTGTGAAAGAATTTGATGCTGATTTAACTGTTTCTGTTGTTGGGTTAATAATTGCTGAGATGATGACATCTGATGTTGAGGTAGTTGAGAATTAATTTGCTGCTGTTGCTGCTGTGGCATCATTTGTGGTTGCGTAAGCGATTGCTGTTGTGTTCCTATTAATTGTTGTTGTTGAGATGTTAATTGTGGCGATTGTTGTTGATTC